CCCCCCCCCCCCCCCCCCTTTGCCGAAACCAGCGTCCTATTAATGCTGCAGTCCGCTCGCGAAACTCGCCTGTTGGTTTTCCATGAATTCCCACACTCCATCTGAAGCCAGAACGAGGAATGCGTCGCCCTCCGAAATACTCCTAACCTTTATCTGTAGGCGGTCACAATTAACGAATCGTAGTCTGTGAGATTTCGATCATTCAACGAACGGATTGTTGACAAGTTGAAGCAGAAGATTTAATCGCCAAAACAAGCAGGGTAAGACATGGCTCGAATCGTAGTAATTCGCAACTTTCCCTAACGTGGACGATGCGTACCTCCGGTGTGGCAATGACCCCCACCTCCTTCACGGCATGGTCTCCGATTGACCTGGACATTGCCTGGTCGGGACATTTGTGAACGGCGGGAATATTGACACACTTCAGAACACACCAGCCAAGTATGACGCGAACGGTGAAGGGAAAACCAAACAAGATTGGGGGGTTGGAATTGTGTCACTGACTGGTGATGCTTCGACCATACATGCGTCCATGTGGCTCGACTATCCGTCGACGTTCGGCCCAAACACTTTTCATGTCTCGGGCGTCAAGCGCAGCTTCCAAGGCTCAATGGCGGCCATCAAAGTGTGGTGCACGAAAAAACCTACTGCCGCCTTCGTGTTTTCGAGGTATAGTTACCAGACCGATCCTTGTCAGCTCTTGGTCGAGCCATACTCTGGCGCTCAGTCCTTCCTCTGGAGGAGGGCTCACGAAGCCACCGCATGATTCGATGCGCTCCAACTCTTCGGGCTTGTCCGGGTTGTGATCGTCTGAAAGTGCTACTGGTACCTGCCAGAAGGGAGGAAAGAGAACAAGCGTCACCATCGTAATATAATGCCAGCTCCAGTGGTTCATTTACCCTTCTTTGAGTGCTCATGAAACTCACGCATGTCGACCTGACTATCATCTACTGCAATCAACGTCTGGCAGAAGAACATATTAAACCGGTACTTGCCAGTCCTGGAGATTCCACTTCCGCGCTGCTCCCGTCGGCTGAGCCTGCTCTCTTCTCTGTTCCTAGCACAACCCTGGAGTCTCCAGCGTTTGCTACCCAAACACGATCATCTCTGTACAATACGACCGCAGCGGTCGTCCCACTGTGCGCAATGGATAGACGGGGGTCAACATTACTCAGACTTTTGAAGGTTATTGCGTGCATGCAATGCGTAGCACGTAAAAGCGGGGGATGACGAGGTGATGCCAGCAGATTTTCAACCCACCCTTGAAAGAGGTCAACAGCGGAGGGATCGTGAAGGGCGACTACCCGATGGGAAAGACTGGCACTCAAAACAAGGCAGAGTCAAACGTGCTCGGGTCAAGGATTCCACACTTCAACCCCGTTTCTGCTTCAGATTCCGTCTTGGCGCCGGCTGACTCTGCAAAAGAGGGATCGAATGTTGTCAAATTCGAGCCGTTATTGTTCATTTTGATCCAACATACCTGTAGACGTGCTCATTATCCTTCGCATCTTCACGGAGTGCTTTGTCTACTTCTTCGAATGTCTCCTGGAGGGCAAGCTCAGGGTTGTCGTGCAATCGTGGGTGGCCCGCCAATCTATTTGGCATCTCGTTCATGACGTAGTTGCTGGAGAACGCATGGAATAAAAATTGGCACGAGGCGTTCGACGGGTCACGACCCGGTTCCCGGTCAATTTGTGCATGACGGCAATGCTGGGAACGGATGCCAAGCACTGGTTCACATTGGCGCATTGACAACTTGGTCATGAGAAGATAGTATATTAAACCTACCGCTTCATACATTAACTCTATGCGCCTCATACTTGGGGTCCAAAGACATAGGACAAAAGACATCCGTCTTTGGTCGTAACATAAAAACGACTGACTTGAATCCGCCGCAGGAGGAATTCTTCTTTGCGACCTCAGATTTCAACTGAAAGAGAGCATTTCAGCAGAAACAGCCCCTCCAACAACCGTCCGAACGGAAACTAGACTAGGTGACCTCATCGTTGAAATTAATCACCGTTGATACAAAAAGCATGGCCTGCTTATCAACCCGTCGTCATATATGATACTTTCCACATTTGAACATTCCGCGTTCATGCATGCTTTCGGCCTCACGGAGACTCACCTGACCATGTCACCGCGCTCGCCGTGCCCATCGTAAACGCAAAGCAGAGCACAGGTCTCCGACCCCATGAAAGGATGCACCACGCACGCCCTGTCTTGGTTAATTTTGGCCAGATCCTGATCAAAGCAAGCGGTATCATCGATCGCGTGAACAACTCAGCATGCAAGTATCATCACCTCTCTTGACAGCTGCTGTGTTCATCGAAGAAATTGGGAGACTTGGCCGTTGTCACGGGGCAGGCTCTTCGAAACGCATCTCACTCGTGTACATTACCGAAAGGGGGAAAGCGATGTCGACCAAACCGTTAACCGGCAGTATTTCACTCATATACAAATATTCGGGAGCTCGAGAGCAGACATTGTATACTCGTACTATTGAACTGGTTCCGGCCGAATGGTCCCAATGCTCTCAAGCATGTGCTTCGCATGTCAAGCCAGTCGCTGTCGCTCCTCGGTACAGGTTTGAGGCCGGTTTCAACGTATCAATAATAAATGCCGAACACGTTCAAATTGTAAGTATTGTAAGCCCGCGACTGCCTCCCCAATTGATTTTTATTTAATATATTTGTTTCTGTGTCTCGGCACGGCGATGGCGTCACGAAAACGGATAGAAAGCTGCTGCTGTGTACTCCTGTGACTTCATTCTAGTGATTCCTTAGAGTGTTTATTTTGTATCGATACGATGGTGTCACGGATGGACAGAAGGTACTGCTGTTGAAGACTCCTCGGTACGACGCTGTGCCACCAACAGATCGACACTACTCCTGCACACTGCAATAGGCTAGCAGCAGTCTAGTGCATGCAGCAGCACCAGCTGTGATCCCGGTGTCGAGATGGTCAGGGGCGGTCACCGCCAAGAGGCAACGGGGTGGGATTTCTTGCGCTCGGAAAATCTTTGTTTGCCCTGGTCGCGGCTGCCTCCAATTCTCCCCTTAGAACTGCAATATTGCCGCTGGTTCTTGGTACGTACGACGACGTCACGAGCGCAGGTAAAGCAGAAGTTATGCACAAGAACGAGATTAAGATCTCCCCGTCTACAATGTAGATTACCGTGTGCCCACGGCTGCTTCCCCAATGATTTTTTTTTCCATCAAGTATATGCCGCTTGGTTGTGTCCTGTTGCGATATGGTGGTGTCACGAACGGGGATATAGAAAGAAACAAAGGTACTATAGCAGTACGCGCCATGTGCTGCTGAAGAGTCCAAAAGCCTCTCTCAGTACAGTGCGGCGTCACGAATACATAGTAGACAGTCAGTGTTTTAAGTACTGCTGCTATTGCTGGTGCTGGTGGTATCATAGATAGAGCGGGGTAACGAGCTGCGCGGGGTAGCGACTCAATTCTTTGCAGTCGTCTTATCTGCGATGCTTATGGTGCACGAATCCCGACACAGCAGCGTGAATCGTTTGTGGTGCAGCTACGCGTGCACCAGACGGACAGGCGTGCGACGAGAGCGACGATAGTTGCATGTGCGGCCCCCGTTCAAAATTTTGCACTGTATATGCCTTTATGTGATCGTCTCCTTTCCGTTGATGCACATGCAGCTATCTGCTACCGGAGCACGAGCAAACCAGTGTGACAAAGAGCGCGCTATTTGGCTTCTACAGAAGCGAACCGATCATCAGTTGGTGCCAGTTGGTGCCCTGTAGATGTCGTCCTGGTCCCAAAGGTGGGTTATATAGGCTTCCTGGAAACCAAGTTTGGGGCCCCTGCTACACGCGGCGGAGAAGGTCGATATATACTTATAGATTTTTTTTTTTTCCCTCCTGGGGATGAAGGGGAAAAAGGTCGAGCTTCGATCTCCGCGGCTCATTATTATAAGATCATGTCGTCATGACGAACAGAAAATAGAACAAAGAAAAAAAGGTGGTTGGGGCCGACGCAGTGTTACTCTCTTTGTGTACATGAACAGTTATACAGTTGCGTTGGCTGGTCGTTAGTAGCGGAGGCTGTTCGGGTGTTCTTTCCCCTTCCACTTCCTGGCGGCTGTTCGACTTGGAGAGTCTTTCATGTAGCTGTAACATTCTTTTCATTCTTTCTAGCACAGCGGTAGCGGGTAGAACAGCGGAGAACACCTTGCTTGGTCACGGGCGCCCGTATTGGAGCAGTTTCGAAAACGCATACGTCTGTACTCCGTGGTTGCGCACGCTGGAGGAACAAAACCAACACGCCCGCCCGCGAGAAAGGTCTGAACCGCTTAGTATAGCGGGTAGGCTGTAGCAATACAAGAGGTGGGACGCCGTTGTGGCTCGAAGCGCGCGAGGTTAGCTGTCTGTCGGTCGGTCCCATTTGCCCTCTCTTCAACTCAGAACAACACCCGCCGCCTGTTTGTTGGTTTTCGCTTTTCTACTGCTGTCATCGACCCCCACGTTTGTACTGCTCTGCTGCTGCTGCTGTTTATCCCGCTGCTCGGGTCTTGGCTGCTCATATCGCATCACTACACCTCCTCCCTGGCTCTCACCCTTCGTGAGGCACAGCCAAACAAACGCCGAGGTACATACTGTAACTAACAAGCACCCACGACCCGCAGCAGCACAGCTTGCACAAAGTCGGAACGTTGGACCGAACATAGAACGACGTTGTATGAACGTAGAACATAGAGGGACGACAACTCGCTGCGGACGTCAGTTCGTCTATTTGAATTCGTCCCCCCCCCCCATTGCCCCCCCCGGTGTTTGCCATCGGGGTTGGGTTTTCGTCGCTTGGCA